ATTAAAGACATTGAGGGGCCTCCCTGGTGGCGCAGCGGTTGAACGCTGGGTTGCAAAGCTGCCTGCAGCCTCTGCAGTGCCGGTTCGATCCCCGGCTGCTCCCCGGCCACCGGAGGAGGGTCCCACATGGCGTGCAGACCTCTCCTGTCGCCCGCTGCTCCCCTCTGCAGTGTACCTCGGTCCTTCTGCCTGCTCTGCTCCCCGCTCTGTCTCTGGTGAATTCTCTCACCCTCCCGCACTTCTGACTGTACCCAGTGCTTGTATAAATAAATAAATAAATCTTTAAAAAAAAAAAAAGACATTGAGTGTTTGCTTCGGCAGCACATATACTAAAAAAAAAAAAGACATTGAGGAAGATTTTCTCCAATGACTATAATGAGGGTTTTATAGTAAAGGAGAGATGGAGCTCAAGTACAACCTGGAAAAATGGAAATTTATAGGCAAAAAGTGTGGTGGGAGTCAGTGAATGAAGAAATTACTAAGAGGAAACATCAAAACTAGAGGGATTCGTGCTAGATTGACTCAATGGGGTTCTTCTGAAGGCATGCCATGGTGATTAGGTGAAGGCAGGGGATGAGATGAGGGCAGGAGTGATAAAGTAAGGGCAAGGGATCAAACAGCAAGGTTGATCAGATAATAACAAGAGAGGCTATGGTGTTGTTTAACTGACCCATCAGGATTCTTGCTAAAAATGGACCAAGCAAGTAAAGGATAGAATCTAAGGTCCAGATGTAGTTTGGTTAAAGAGAGAAAGTGTTCAGTTTCACTAACTTACACAATGACAATGAAAGCAGTAAGCATCATTTCTACCTGTATCAAAATAGGATAGTTTTTTTTATTAAATTGCACAAACTCACTGTTCACAAGGTTATGGGGATTCCTAGGATTAAATGCCTTCTTTTAAGACCAAAAACTCATTGAGGGGAAGAAATATATTTATTTGGTTCATTGTAATAAACCTTGTGGATTTGCTAATCAAATCAGTATCTTTCCTGGAGGTTACTTTGCCTCTAGTTGTAAAAACACTCATACCTTTGACCCAATTATTGCATTTATGAAAAAGCTTAGCATTAGGGAAAAAAAATAAAAAAAGCCCTCATAAGGATACTCATTCTAATAACATATATGTATATATCAGTAAAATTTTAAAATAAAACCATAAAATATTCAACAGTAAAGAATTGATTATTAAATAACATCAAAATAATGTTTCTGGAGAAGCTATATAGAAATGGGAATCTATTAAATGACAAAAGGTATATACCAAATATACCATGTGATCTAATCTGGTCTATATAAGTAAAAAATAAAACAATGCTATATTTATAGTTAAAAGAATACTAAAGGGAAAATGATCAAAATTTCAATAGCAGTTATCTGAGTTATTTTTATCCTGAGGTGATTTTTATTCTTTATGCTTTCTTCAAAATTTATATAATTACTTTTCTAACCAGAAAACAAAACTTGTTCTTTTTAAAGAAGGGAAAGGCTTGCTACAACTTCCCTTCTGTTCAACAGGTTCTCAAATTGAGAATGTTATCAGAATCAGTAGGTATTTTTTTGGGTGGCCTGAGAAGATGGCAGTCATTCACTGCTAAAATTGTGTGTCTACCAAAAGGAGGTGAACATCTTTCAAATAATAAGAGAATCCAGTCTGGAGAAATGTGCAAGGACAGATTCCTGCCAAATTACAAGAATGCTGATCAGGGTTTCAAATCACCCAATGAAACTATGAAGGGCAATTACATTGACAAGAAATGCCTAAAATGTCTCTATGTGTGGGCAGATCGTGTCTGGTGTTGTGACCAAGATGAAGATATAGAGACCACTGTCATCTGCGAGACTACCTACCTCTACTACATCTGAAAGTTCAACTGCTTTGAGAAGTCCCATACGAACTTGAACTTGGCCATGTAACTGCTTCAGGGACATATAGAGGAGTGACACTGCCACAGTGGCAAATGCTGGCTCCTGAGCAAACTGTGTGCTTTAGTGTGCTCAAGGTCACCAAAGCCATGTGCACCAAGAAGCAATTCCAGTTCTGTGACTGGATGTCAGTCCATGCTGCCAGACAAAATAGTATCTTTCTATTAAAAAAAAAAAGTATCACCTAGATGGTGGGCTAAAAGAAACTGCTCCCTCTGCCCCTCTCCCCCATTTGTAGGTCTTCATTGGGTATGGCGATTTGCATTTCTAATTAATTCCACAGGGTTAAAAATTGCAACATAGGATGGCTGCATGGTATAGTGAAAATGATGTGGGTTTTGAGGTCAATCAGGTTCTGATTCTAGTCTGTCCTGTGCAGGGTGTGTAGCAATAGTTGACATACTTTAGCCTTGCTTAGCCTGTTCCACATCAATAAAGTAATGGGTACCTCATAAGTGTATTGTGAAGGTTAAATCTCCAAGGCAGTGCCACCTTCCTTAAGATCATTAATTAATGTTGATTCCCTTCTCTTTGACTTCTTCTAAGATGCAAACACACATTTGCCATACCTGGGCTTATTGTGACATGATTTAGCCATACCACTGGTTAAATCATTTCCTCCAAACCTAACAAATCATGTGCGTCCCTCTGCTACTAATGAAGTCTTCAGTGTTCATCTATAAATTGGGGATAATAATATAATAATAATATCTATTTTGATGTAATAAGCAATAATACCCACTTTGCAGTGATGCGTTCACGAGGATTAAACAAGATAATACATTAAGTGCTTAATACAGCAACTGGCATATGGAAGGAAGGTGCATAGTAAATCAGTTTCCCTATGTATAAAATGAGTGTAACAATAGCACTTTATGTCATAGGGTCATTGGGAGGATTATATTACATAATATATGCAAAATACTAAAAAACTGTTGAGTTTTGACATTATAATCATTAGTCTGTGAAAGAATGGAAAGGCATTCTTTTTTTAAAGCCTCCTCCTCAGATTCTGATCAAAGTGTTCAGTTGGGTATTTGATAAATACCTTAGCTACCTTGTCCCTAATGAATAAAAACAAGTTTTGGCATCTCAGAAGTGAGACTTGGGAGTTGTGTAAATTTGGCCTAGTTTAGCATCAGGAGTCTGGAAAAGTAAAAACTGAGATGGCAACAGAGTCGAAGACCCAACAGATCATCTTTTTAAAAAGTAAGTGCAGAGAAATACTGAGGTCAGTGAATTTCCAAATGAGCTTTCCTATCTATTTTTAGGTTCCTAACTTCCTTAGATAAAATCTATCCTTTTAGGGAAAGTGCAGAGAACATGCCTCTGTGGGCTTGTTTTGAGGGAATGCAGGTGCTGCATCCACCCTGGAGATGGCTGCGTTAATTCATGAACTGAGGTGACAATATTGACTCCCTCGAGAAGAAAAGATGCTGTGCCTACACAGGAAGTTAACTCAAAGGCACTACTTGAAGTAAGAAGAAAAAGGAGGAAAAAGAGAAGAGGGGAAAGTAAAAAGGAGGAAAAGAGAAGGGGAGGAAGGAGGGAGTAAGAAAAGCAGCAGTTACGTCACAGCCAGCCCAGTCAGAGCTCAGTTCAACAACATACAGATTAGAGAAAGCAAGAACTATTTCTTTTTTTTCCCTCCTGAACACCCTTCCTTACTCTTCTCAAATGGCTGCTGAAAACATTCTGGGATGAATTACAAGCAAAGAGGGCTGTCGCAGAATTAGTTATCAGGGAGGGTGGAGGTGAGAAATAACCTCTCTCTCAGGGGTTAGAAAAATCATAATTTGGGGGATATATGACAGGGATTTCGTGTTATCTTCAGCATCATCTATCAGGATATTTAGGGATGGAGAAGGGTATCAACTAAACTTTGCATTTGCCAGATGTAAATCACATTGTTCACCACCCACTTTCAGCCATCAGGTTAAGGTGTGCAACGAGAAGGTAATTTTGAAGTGAAAAAGAAGTATAAAAGGTCAATCTAGAGTTCTTGGTGGGAAAGGAGTAAATGAATATCAGACTACTAATAGCGTCAGGAAGATGCTAGTAGTAGATGGAAGAATTAAGGGTCATTGTCAAGAGAGAAGCCCTAAAGTTTGGGGTGAGAGCCAACCGGCCAGATTTCCTGGTACCCAAATATTTTCTCTGCACACACCCTTCAAGTTTCTCTGTTTGACTCTCGCGGGTGGATTCTCAGACAAGACACAGTCTTAGTAATAGGCGTTTTCACAGCACCAACTTAGAGCTGACCGCTGAGCCCGCTCTCAATATAAAGTCTGAAAGTAAAAACAGCTTTGAGGTTGGGGCAGAAAGGCACCAGTTTTATTGACTTTAGGGCTGGCTTTTGGGCGTGGTCTTGTACCAGCTGCCGCCCCAATTTTCCTGATCACCTTCAGTCTTGCACCTCTTGCGCAAGTGACGTTGGTAAGCCCCCCGAGGACCGGCTGGGGACCAAGCGGTTAAGCCGCGTCCTTCAGTTGTCAGCCTCCATCCGTTCGGAAACCACAACCCCCAGAACCTCTAGTACTGGGAGGTCAAGTCACAAATAAGATGGCTCTAGAAGGGTGGAACATACAGCAGGGTGGAAACCCGAGTCTCTGGCAGTTTCTTTACCGTACGTGCTTAAATAACCGAATTCCCACAAACACACAAACGCACTTTCCCAATAACAACCTCTGAGTAGAGGCCACCGCCACCGCAGTGCTCGCCCCTCGGGGGCATCTGGGAATTGTAGTCCAGCCACCCAGCTGCAACAAACTACTTTTCCCAGAATGCCCTGCGGGTCGGGCGATATCAACGTTCTTCTCTAAAACTCTCGGCACTGAGACCTCTTTACCCGGTCCCCTTCTCTCCGACCACTCCTTCCAGTCCGTCGCGACAGAGCGGCGGCCGCAGGAGGGCCCCGGCCCCTTGCCGCGCCGTCCCGACAGGCACTTCCGGCGGCGGTTCACTTCCTGGTTGGGTGGATGGAGCCGGGCGGGAGCGCGCGCGGGGGAGGGGCGGCGGGTCAGTCTCCGCCGGGCGCTCTGGGGATCAGCTGGCGGGCGGGCGGGCGCCGAACGCGGCCCCGGCTCTGGATGCAGCGCCGCCTCCTCTCCGCGTAGCTGGCCGGCTGGGCGGTCGTGACAATGTTGCGGGGTTGGTAGCTGGGCGCCGGCTGCCGAACCGTCTCAAGTGGGTGCCGCCGGGATGCTGCCGCGCAGGGCGGCGGGGAGACCACGGAGGAGGGGGAGGCAGTGCCGGGCAGGGTGGGTGCTGCCCAAGGCGGCTCGAATCTTTCCTTTTTCCGAGCCGGGGGTCCTGCGTTCTGGGACCGGGGACGCGGTTTCAGCCCCATGGTCTTCACGCCAAGAAAATGCATGAAGCGTTTCCCCCGGGTGATGGCTTTTGCCTCCCCCCGTCCCCCCCCCCCCGCAGGACTCAGCAGTTGAATTTTTAAGTGTGTTACTGATTCATCCTCTCTCCTCTGTCATCACAGGTTTAAACTTACACGAATCGCTCTCTAGAGGAGGAGGGGACCGCCGCGCGATTGACACGCATATTCCTATAGGCATCCTCCGTCAGCCCCCACCCCCACGGTCGGATTCGGGTGGCTCCTCTCGGCGCTGAAATCCGAGAAATCCTTGGATCTCTTGTTTTCTTAAAAAAAAAAAAAAAAATCCAGAAACCGTTCGGTATTTTGCTTTTCTGCTTCCCATTCTCAAGATGAAGAAGTTTTTTGACTCCCGGCGAGAGCAGGGAGGCTCTGGCCTGGGCTCCGGCTCCAGCGGAGGAGGGAGCAGCACTTCGGGCCTGGGCAGTGGCTACATCGGAAGGGTCTTTGGCATCGGGCGGCAGCAGGTCACGGTGGACGAGGTGTTGGCCGAAGGTATGGTGGGACTCCTTCAGTGCGCCGTAAATTAAAATCTTGTGCTGATGCAGCAAGACTCTGGTTTCTAGTTGTTGAATGTATGAATGATTTTGACCAGTTGCCCTCCCTTCCCCCTTCCCTTGCCCTGTGAATCATTGTCCTTGAGAAATTTAAAACAGATTTTAAAGTGACAGGACTTACGGGCTTGGGAGAGGTTGCCAGAAATTGTTTGCCTCAGTGGCCTTTTATTTGAAAAAATTTTTTTTGACAAGCCAATTCTTGTCTCCATCAGCAAATTATGAAGATCAGAGGAGAAAACGTAGGTGTGAAAGTGTAAAGCTTCACATTCAAATGCGGGGTGGTGGGCTTGTCATCCTCCAAAAACTTGAAATATTGATGTGAGACTGAAGGGTGGAGATGGAGGAGCTGTAAGGAAGAGAGAGGTTTTTTCCTCCTCCTACCCAACTTTTTCACTTGCATGAGCAAGCTTTGAAGGAAGAGATCTTTGGAGAATGGGAATCTGTTTTTCTAAGATCGAAGTCTCTTGGTGGATTTGACTAGGTTTGTTTCCTGACCTGACTGTAATCAGGTCCCCAGGGTATAGCTAAGATAACAGAAATTATAGGAAATGAATGTGGTTATTTTGAAATCAGTCTGGTAGGCCCTTCTTTCTCCTGTTTCAGTTTTTATTATTTTACTTTTTTTCAGCCAAATGAATTACTTGAGAAAGGTATCATTTTTCCTCTATTGGAGATGATTTTATTTAGATCTGCTGTATAAATTCCTAGTGTGTGTTCATTTATATATCTATAGATATGTAGATACATATCTATCCCCCAGGCTTTCTGGAAATCTTTGCATATCTCTTTTTGTAACCTTAACCTCGACCTTCATAATTATGCTAGACTCATACTTTTCACAGCCCATTGCCTGCCTAGTGTGCTTTTATTTTTAATAAAAGCAGCAATTTCCTTGGCATGAAGCTATTCAAACTAATTGGATGGGGCCAACCTGCTGTAGGTTGTGTTATGGACTGAGGGGATGGAGGAAGGGGGAGGCCTCTATTACTGCAACATGGTGGTGGAACAATTTATCAGCTGGAGAAGAAGCTTTTTGCAAGCTGAGGTTGAAAGCAGGGTCCCGACCTGGGCCTGGGAAATGCCTGTCATGGTAAATGTTGCAGGTGAGGGCATATTGGGAAGAAGCAGCTGTGTTTGACTCTCAGCTTGTATAATAAGCACTGGAATTAGTGGGGGCCCGGTTTTCTGGGGTTAGGGTTGAAGCTGTTACTTTAAAGACATTGGTTTTAAAAAGATATGACATGTCCTTGTGAAATTGTTGCTCTTTTCTATTCTCAGTACTGCTCTGGCTGGACTTAATCAGAGGCCTGAGTCACTGTCCCTCTGGATCCTTCATTGTCGGCTTTGGTGCAGGATGGGGATGCTTCTGTGCCCGCTGCCAGATCCGCACCCTTGAGTTTGATCTGTCTGTTTTATCCCAGTGCCAAAACCCTTGAGTGCAGTGGGATGGAGAAGTGTGTGTGAGAGAAAACAGGAGAGATAGGGGGTCCTCTCCTCTGAATGGCCTCTGCTGACCTTATAGCCCAGGAGTATTTTGTTTAGCTTGAATATTGTCTCATTATAGATGGTACTACTCTAACCACTCTGAGGCTATTCTCAGAGTCTGAGTGATGAGGTAGAGAAAAGGTAAAATTGGTCTTTGTTATCATCTAAGCTGCCCTCTTCTTCTCCAGAATTCATCCCTCAGAACTGTACATCATGTGTTGTGATATTTTTAAGTGGAGCTTAGGACTTGCAGCTCCACATTCGTTCATTCAACAAATAGTTATGGCGTTCTGTGATATGCCAGGCACTGTGCTAACCTCTGGGTAAATGATATTACACTAGAAGCTGGAATTTACAGACTACTTGGAGCGATGGGAAAACAGCCAGGTATAACAGAATGATATGTGCTGTCATGGAATTAAGCTTGGGGTATAGTTACCCCCAATTTTAGAGAGCCAAGACTTGCTTTCTACAGGAAATGACTGAGAATGAGTAGGCGTTTTCCAGGTGTAGTGACAGAATGGACAGAGACACATTGTAGCAAGAGAGAGTCTCCTATAAAACTAGGTTTGGTAGTGTTGCTCTCTTTATGTTCTTTGACTATAATTGCATTTGATTAGGTGGCTCGTAGGAGTATAGCTATGTAGGAGCTGGTATTTATGTAGCACCTACCAAGCACACATATACTACTAGGTTCTAAGAGGGACATAAGAAGGTCGAAAGTGTGATGTCTGCCTTAAAGAACTGTCAGTGAATTTGCCAAGACAAGGTAAACATTCACACATATACAAGAACATGGTTACTAGCATTGTCTCTAGAGTCAGGCTGTTCATATTCTGTTTCCGTTCTTGCTAGCTGTGAAACCTTGAATGAGACATTTCAAATCACTCTTGAGCCTGTGTCCCCATGGCAGTGGTTCTCAAAGTGTGGAGCCTGGATCAGGAGCAGCACCATCACCTGGAATCTTGCTAGAAATGCAGATTTTCAGGCCTCACTCTATAAACCATAGGTGTGACTCCTTAAGTTTCTGGAGAGATTCTGGTAAGCTAAAGTTGGAGAACCACCGCCATATAGGGTGGACTTGAAGATTGAATGAGGCGATGTATAGAAATTATTTAACGTGTTTCAGGTGCTCAATAAACATTAGCTATTTTCCAGCAACTTTATACCTATAGATAGTTAAGGGTGAGTGCAGGGCAATGTGAAGTCTAGTTTGGCTGCAACAACCTGCATCAGCTCTTCTCCTTTATTGTGGATGGACAGAACCAAGTGTTCTTTGCAGAGACCTTACCAGCTCCTTAAGGCATTATCAGATGTTTTAGGCTAGCCATGCTCTTTCCTGAATCCTGTTCAAGTCCCCAGGTGTTGACCTACCTGCCAGTCCCAGAGTTGTCTAAGGATGATGAGAGTTGTACCTCAAGTGCTCCTGGCAGTGACCAGGCAGTTTCAGGGAGGGTGATGTGATAGGCTCCAAATTCAGATCCTGTTATCATCACATCCCACTGATTATCCCTTATTCCCTGATGTGGTATGCTTTCTCATGAGGGACTACAAGAACCCCAAGGTTCAGAACAGGGACATTCCTGCCATCTCTCCATCAGGAGCGTCAGCTTTGTTCATCTGATTTTTCTGACAGGTTCAGCAGGGCCTTATTTGTGAAGCCCCTCATTTGGGAAGTAAGGGTCTTAGGTATGAGTTCAGAAATGTGGCTATTTTTAGGCAGGGGAGGATATTTTCTCTTTTCTTCTTCAGTGAAGATGCCATGATGCAATGCTAAATCATGTCTGAGGTAATGGACATGTGATGTCAAGGGGAGATTTGGTTTAATCTTCCAGAGTGAGTTCATGGGGAAAATTGGAGTAGTGTTCCAAGAAGGACTAAAAAGCTGTACTTTTATCATACCCCATTAACTATCTGAGGCCTTAGTTTTTAAATAATAAATACATAATTTTGTTGAATATCTGCTTTGCCCAAGACAGCATTCCAGAACTGATTTGGTTCTGTAAAAGGTGGCTCAGGTGGCCCTTTAGGACCATTTTCTCACACTAAAGGAATCCAGCTCTGAGGCTAATGAGAACTATTGAATAAGTTTCCTTATCAGTAAGCTGATAATTTCTCCTACCTGCAGAGCAAGGTCAGTGAGTCTAAAAAATGTGTGTGAAGTCACTTTAAACACACATACACACAAATAAACGCACATACCTAGCAGGTACATCTTTATAATATATTGGTGGTATCAATGTGATGCATGCATGTATTAATTTAGTAAACATTTATTAATGATGTCTTATGGCAGGCAGTGTATTAGGCTCTAGAGATACTAAGAAAGATTAATGGGTCTTGGATCCAGCCTTTAAAAAACACTTTAAAACTTACTTAAGATCCCTAAGATAAGTACCCAGCACTTAGCATGGCCTTTGATGTATAGTAGATGATTTAAAGATGTTATGAGATGATAGAAAGAAAGGGCCTGGGGGATGGGAGTTTGTAGATGAAGTGCTAGTTTGAACAGGAATGGAAATTGCCTAGATGTTCTAGATGAGGATTACCCAAGGCCTTCTAAGCAGAGAGAATAGCATATGCAAAGGTGTCGAGCCTTCACTTCCCAAATGAGAGACTTCATACATGAACCCCTGCTGGACTAGTTAGAAACCAGGTGAACAGAGCTAATGGTGCTGATGAAGAGACTTTAGAAAATGGCTTGTGTCTAAAGGATTTGAAGAGTGGCAAGAAGCTTGAAGCAGAAGCAGGGAAGGGGGTGAGATGACCAATGTTATAGAAAGGAGTGGACGGGTGAGAGTGAGCATGTTTGGCCACAGCCAAAGGTATGTTGGAGAGAAAAGAAGAGGAAATTAGGTTGTAGGAAACTTTTGTGCTAGGCAAAGGGTTAGTTATAAGCACCTCAGGTCTTCTCTTGACGCAAGCACCAATTTGATCCCTCCCACTTCAGATGTCTTTGCCTGCTGGAAGTCTAGATTTTAGTGGCATCTGCAGATTTTCAGGGGGTGGTTTGTGAATGGTGTCTTCTTCCTGGTTTTTTTGCATAATGACAGTTTTAGCTTTGCTAAATATAACCAAATCTAGAATTCAGACATGAAATCCAAGATAAACAATTCCATGGTCAAAGTCTTTCTTCTGGTCTTTCTAACAAAGTTATGCTCATGTATTATTGAGAGATGGAGAGAAACAATTTCCGAAGGGTTTCCCATAGAGAGAGTATGGGGGAAGCCATACACTATACCTCAACAGGTTTTAAAACTGCATGTAGAGTTCACAGGAAAGGTGTGATTAATTTTAATAAAATACATATGAAAAAAGATTACCGCATCAGAACAGTTTTTTTTTTTTAAAGATTTGTTTTTATTTATAGAAGAACTGGGGTACAGACCAGAGGCATGGGAGGGTGAGATTCACCACAGACATAGCGGGGAGCAGAACAGGCAGACTGACCCA